AAACCAACAATGATAGTAAATATAAATGGGAGAGATGGAAAATGGATAAGAAGAGAACACTTACCAAGGAGGAGGAGGAAACAACAGAGATCGATCAAGAAGACTACACTCAGATCATAGTAAGGGAAGAGATTAAGATAATCAATGGGATTCCTAAGACAAAATACAAAATCTTTCTACGGGGCATCCTTGTACTCTGTGCAAAGGTGCACCCTCTGATAACTGGATGGAAAGGGATCGCAAACGACAAAGGTAACCTCCCTATCTTGGACTACATAGTTTCCAAAGGATATAGAGCTCAATCAAAAGTTGGCAGACTAGCATGCATCACTAAAGGTAATTGGTATAATTTCTCAGTCGTGCAGGGTATAGACTCAATTGAGTTCAACGACTTCTCTAACAATGAGAAATACATTACTAGAAGTTATAACCCTTCCTTTTGTGAAACATGCAAGCCTGCTTTGGCTGATCTACATGCTTAGTATCCCAAGTTTCCCAACAGGTCGCTGATGTGTCTTAAAAGGAATCCCTGTCTCCATATTCAGTGATTTGTGCAATTAAAACAAGATTGAAGACATACCCCACATCAGGTGGTCTTGTACAACAACTCAACTATTTTGCTATTGGTGGAAAGAGAGCAGGGCAGCTGCATACCCGGATGATTATAGTGATGTAATATGGGGTAGGGATGGTCTACTCAGAGGAGACAACCATCCATAAGCGGCTTCCTCCCATGTAGCTTGGATCTCAAGGGCACAGGGTTTTTGGATTCTATGGGGAAGCAAGAATTCCACCAGATTCGAAGGTACTCCCTCATCTTTGAAAAACCTGAAATGGTCCATACTACAGGGCCTGAAGGGTATTATATAGGTGGATTGGAGGAGAACTAGTAGTTTAGGATGTAATGAGGAGGTTAAAGTTAGGAGTAAACTGCTAGTACACGGCCCCAGCCTTGCTGAAAAAAAACTTGTCGTCTAAGAGTTTCTTCAGACGCGCCATTGATTAAAAACATTTGTGGCATGCGCCGCATACCATATTCTAATGGGCGCCTGCGGCCGATAGCTGGATGTACTTGTGCTTTAATAATAGATGGTCAACCCCCTTCTGCTGGGCCATCCCCTCAGTATCAAGCTCGTTAATCTTCTCGACTCTTTTGGAAACACGCAGTACCAGAGTTATATTATAGATATCTGAAATGAGGTTTTTGAGTGAAAGATTAACCAACATCGGCTCTCGGTTGGTTCATTCAATTCAATTGGCATGCCGCGGTAGGCTTTTAGTGAGAGCGCCAGGTGTGCTGAGATCCTAAAGGCCTCGACTGTCCGTTTTAGAAAAGACGTTTGTCAATAGTTGAGCCTTCAGAGAATTACTCTTCCCGAGTTTTGATTATTTTGCGGCTTTTGATGTTGATAAGATGAGCAATACTCAGCCTGATTCTAGGTTGAATTGTAAGGTCCCCGACCTCGATCTATTACATTGATTTTTTAAAAGGTTACTGATGTGCAACCTCACACCCCACGCTGTGTTCCGTACTTCGAACACCAATTAGAGTAGTTGGGGGTGTGGCCCGGTGGGCGAGGATTTTTGGCTGTGGCGTTGAATCACCCGGGCGAAACGGGGGATTCTTGTTTTGGCACGAGCGCCCGGTTGCCTAGTTGGGTTCGATCCGTCGTCGAGTGCAAGGGACGGAGGAACAGATCATTCCAGAGTGACCATCAACGAAAACTCAAAAGGGAAAAGCGAACGAAATTGAAAAAGGAGGACGAGGGAGCCGAGTTTTTCCGCTCCCTGCTGCGCTTGGTTCGCGCGGTCCTTGGGGGCGGTCGCTCTGGAATCGGGTCTTAGGGCTCGGTGTCAGACTCGTCGAGCCCGCGCAAATGACCTTGCGCGTGGTCGCCTGGGGTCGGGCGGGTCGAGGAAACTCAGGTTCGGAAGTTAGTCGGGAGCACGTCCGCGTTGCTGGAGAGTTCTGGGAATCGAGCCGCACCTTCGTATCCCAGGACTAGTCTTCGCCAGGAGCACGAGTCCCTCTGCCGACACCAATGGCAGTTAAACCGAGGCCTCCATGTGGCGTGGGCACCAGACCAGGGCAACACAGTCATATCGGTATAGGGCAACACCAGGGGCGGGGAAGAGAACCGATCAATAAACACAAACCCACTTCCTCCAATACTATGATAGGCTCTGGCGGGGTTATACAAATGAACTTGCTCGGTTTGTCGCAGAGCGCTCCGCATGTTCACGTCGCAGTACACGTTGTAGTCGCAGTACACATTGTCGTCGTCTGCAATGGGGAAGGTCGACAATACGTTGCGAGGGGCCGATACGTAGGTCTAGCTCGGGCAAGGGCTTACGCTCGGGTCCGTCGAACACTGACTCCATGCGACGATTGACGAAATCCTGCCTTGCTCTCTCTCTCTCTCTCTCTCTCTCTCTCTCTCTCTCTCTCTCTCTCTCTCTCTCTCTCTCTCTCTCTCTCTCTCTCTCTCTGCGTCAACCTGAGTGTTGGGCCGGGGATCCGGGGTTCGACCGAGTCGCGGAGAGATCAGCTGTGTCTAGAGGACGTGAACGACTGATCGCTCCGGTTATCGAGTGAAATTGCGGGGCTAAGCCCGTTTGTTTTGCCCGGATCCTGCATCGCTCGGATGGGAGGGGAAGCGGGAGGAGGTGGGCGCGTGCTCCCGCGCATACACGTGGCATTGAGGGTGAAAAGGGGCTCGGGGAAGGGAGGAGGGACCAACACACTCATGCACTCATGCAGACGGTCGACACCCAATAATCCCTATCATCGCGCCTGAAAGCGCGCACACACACATACTCATAAAGTCCTCCTGGACAATGAGACATCCAAAATCCATAAACTCTCATACCACAACATGCATACAACAAAATACCCATACATCGGGACCTTGCACACATCACACCGGGACAAAGCAGCAATGGAGATAAAAGCGAGCTCCTTAGTGTACAAATTTGCTCACATGACTGGCTGCCTTGTGCCCAACCCCCCCCCAATCCGCGAGAACCACCAACAACCATAGCCACAAGGCCCTGCCGCTGTCGGCGACCGATCTCCACCACCGCTCAGTCCCTTCGACTGGCTTACCCCAAGTCTATCGCTAAGCCCTCCCCACGTCGTCACTCCGCCCTTGACTTGGGCTCGTCAAGCCTGTTCGACGCCGCGGACCTCGCACATAGCTCACGCAACATTGCAGCCGAGTTCAAAGAGAGGGAGAGGAAGGGTTTGCGAGAATTTATAGCGGGGAAGGCGGCGGAGAGCCAGCGCGAGGTGCGAGCAGCCTGGGATGTAGACGAGCAGGGCAGAAGAAGGGCTGGGGTTCCAGAAGGATCGAAGGAGGTGAGTTGAACGATCGGTGTGATTGGGGTGGTTAATCAAGGGATGCGCGCCTTCCGCTCTCGCCACATTGATCCGACCGTCCCAATCACACAGCCAATAGTTCGCGATGATGGGTAAGGAGAGGATCGGGCTTCGCTCGAGGGAAGACGAAGAGACATGCAAGAAGGGAATGCGCAGCAAGAAGGGAAGATGGCACGGGGACGCAAAGCGAGAGAACAGGTTTACGCGGCGCGCAAAATTTGGAAAACAGCCGCGCAAGCAAAAGTTCAAAATTCCTACCCACACTAATTCCTAACTGTTTCTTGGATTTCTTGGCACGGCCACTAACCGGCCACGCAAGAAAGACATCAGGGGCAGTCCCAAAACGGAAAAATAAGTTTCTTTTCCGTCCCTCCTCTCTGTTTAGGGGAAAAAAAAAGGAAAAAAAAAGAGAAAAGAAGAAAAAGGAAAAATGAACCCCGTTCTTCCCAATTATCTACAAACCGTACTTCGAGGCTTTTTACGTGGGATTTTCCCCTGAAGGTATGGGAAGCCGCTGAGTACGGATCCTGGCTTATCACATACCGCTGTTAAAAAAACTAAAAGTAAAGAGATTGGCGACGTGATTTTCTACGCAGAGATGCAGAAAGGTGCCTGGGTATCAATGATATGATCCCTTTTCCTTGCAAAAAAAAAGAAGAAAAAGGTAGATCAATCACAATTTTCTGCACCTCTCAACAAACAGGCCCAGCTTCAGGCGTTTGCTGCCATCCTCTTTGCCCACAATCTTCTTTGTATATATTTTCCTCATCCATCTCATCCTCTCGCTACTCTATGTATAGTAGGGGGCAACACCAACCAAACCTGGAACTCTCCCCAGCCCACAGGGTAGGTTGGCACCACAGAAGTGGTGCGAGAGCAAGGCTTGTATCAGCCCCTCATCACAATGATGCGGGGTGATCAGGCATTGCCACGGGGGAACCGGCTTATGCTCGTGCCGAGCATCTTTGGCCCATCACTTGCACCTCCCCCTACCGCCTTCCAACCCCACATTAGGGGTGTCTAATGGCCAATATCATTGCTGCATAGCAACCAACAATATGTGCCCAAGGTCCTGCCAATGCTGGCTTGGAGACCCAACAGGTTATCTCTAGCTGGTAGAACACCAAGCACGTACGTGAGGCCAAATGGGGATTGAACCCACGCCCTCCTGAATGCAACTTCTGTGCCTTAACCAACGAGCTAAGCCCGCAGGCTGACCTCGCCCTTACCCTGAACGCCAACAGGGAGCTGACCTGAAGCGTCATCCATTGTGCCTCTCTGAGGGCACACTCACACTGGGCTTCTTTTACTTATTGATGGACGTCATTGCGGTCAGATGCATCCAGGTCTGGCCGTAATTACTGCCAGATGCATTTTGGGAAGTGCTGGTAGTGTGAGCGACGGTGCAAGTGCGTTCAATCGCGAGCGTATCTTCTGGTAGAAGGTGGAAAGATACGCTCGCCACTTTTCTGTCCCTTTCAGACCTGGCACAATGCAGAAAAGGCGGTTCGGGGGAAAAAAGGAAAACAGGGAAGAAAAGGGGGGTAGGAGGGGATAGAGGAGGGGCCTCCTCGAAGGGGTGGGCCGGCTTGCGTCCGGACTGACGATTGGCCGCGTGGACTGGACTCGTCAGTTTTGGATATTGTGCCACGTGGATGGAATCTCGCGGCACTAGGGACTTTGCCACGTAAGGTCATTCCGATGGCGGTGGTGAGTCCCGTCAAGGGGCCGGTCGGGGCCGCGACCGTTTACGTTGGCAAATCGGGATTGTGTGACACACCCCCGCGCGTCTCTCCCACGTGGGCAGATGGTCGCTGGAGGGTGGAAGGAGGGTTTCCTTGGTCCTGTGCCTCCTCGCTCGCCTCCCTCCCCTCCGCCTCCTCCTCCTCCTCCTCCCCCCCCTCCTCTCTCTCCTACTGCTCTCTGCAGCGCTACTGCTTTTCGCCGGTTCCGCGCTGCGGGACATCGAGCAGGTTGTCCTCGTCAGGGAGGAGGAGGGGAGCTAGGAGCTGCCATAGCTTCTATCTCTCAAGATCAAGATCTCTTTCGCCCTGTGTGAAATCTCTGAGGGGCAGGGCGGATGGGATCTCCACCGTAGGGGTTGTACCGGTAGGATGGGTTGGGGGATTTGACGAGGGCGGGGGGGAAGAAGGCGAGGAGGAGGAGGAGGAGGAGGAGGAGGAGGAGGAGAGAGTTATCTCGAAGGAGAGGAAGAGAAGAGGAGGAAGAGGAGGGGACGGAAATGGGAGCAGAGACGGGAGGAGGTGGAGGGTTGGGGAGTTCCAACTCTGCACCTGTGCAAGACCGCGGACTGGAAACAGGTTGAGACGGGGGTCCGAACACAGGTTTGGGAAGGGTGTCCAGGCCTGCCAAGGTCGAGATGAGGGGGGTGGGGTGGGGGTGCAGAGGAGGTATGTGCCACGTGGCAGCTTCGAGAGCGTTCTGCCACGTGGGATGGCGGGGATCACGCGAGGTGGCTCGGTGGCTGTACGGGCCACGTGGGAGGCGGACAGAGCGGTTGGAGAAGAAGGCAGGGGGGAAAGTTATACCCAGGGAGGCAGTGTGAAGGGGGAACAAGAGGAGGAGGAGGAGGAGGAGGAGGAGGAGGAGGAGGAGGAGAAGGAGAAAGAGGAAGGGAAGGTGGAGGGAGAGGAGGAGGTGATGACCTCGGGCCTGGAAGACGAGGTGTTCTTGCGAAAGGTAGCTATGGCTCCCGACGCTGAGTCAGCACTTAGGATGATCGCTGAGAGAGGGGGAGAGAGAGAAGGTGGGGAGGTGACTTGTGAAGACTGCGGGCGGCTTATCCTTGCCTCCCTGGCGGAGGGTAATTCCGACTTAGCATTCTCTGTGCTAAGTGCTATGCGGAGCCGGCGGACTCAGCAAAGAATAGAGCAACAGCGAAGTGCTAGAGATCAAGGTAACCACGTG